TAGTAACCATGGATAACAGGATAAACATGAATATTAACAAATTTCATATCAATTATCATATATCTATAGATCCACATAACACAAATATGCAATTATTGGCAGATTTTGTTGGTGATAATGAACCAAAATCAATTTAATATCCCAAAAATAATATTTATATATACACACACAAGTATATAAAATATTATTGGATATTTATCCGAAATATATATATACACACAAATATATATAAAACGGACCCAAAGGTTATATATACATGTATATCTACGAAAAAGATATATCAATATATATCAACCAAAATTGTAACTAATAATCCTCAGATTATAAGTCCAATCCAACGAATATATCAAAAGAGGGAGAACGGATTTTTGCTTAAAAGCGTAATCCAAAACCAAGAAAGAAGGAGAAGGAAGAAAGAGTAGTACGAGTTAGGCGAAGTGCCTGTCTTTCCTTAAAACCTTATTTGCCACCTCCCAAAAGTGCTAGGAGCGTTGTAGCCTAGGTTTCCCAGGATAAAACGTAGTTCGACGTTTGAGCACCCAAACGAGCGAACCCGGCGAACAAGAGCACGGGCAAAACACAATAGCAAGAAAGGAGTAGGAGCAGAGTTCAAACGAGCGAACCCGGCGAACAAGAGCACGGGCAAAACACAGTAGCAAGAAAGGAGTAGGAGCAGAGTTTTGAGAAGAAAAGGTTCACTTGTTGTAAATCACTTGCTCCTACGAGAGCAACTCTCGTGTTGTGTTGTTTGGTCTCGACCAGCGCACGAGAGTGGAGCACTCTCGTGTTGGGTGTTGGCACACACGAGCTCGGGCTTGAATCAAGTCTTGCCAATCTCGTGTCTAGTTGGAATTTAATTTGCACCCCCCCCCCCCCCCCCCCAACCTCTATGCTATACAATTCTACAAGCTCCAAAAGAGCCCTTGTATAAAAGGGGGGTGAAATCCTCTTTCCAAACCAATGTGGGACAAAGTTCACTTTTCCCTTCATTTTTCCAACTCAATGCGTCTACTTTGAGAATCAATATCTCATTCACCCATTATCCGTTTTGAGCGTACAATATATCAATTTCTTCGTCTCACTACGAAGAACCCGAATCCACTTTGACCCGACCCAAATCGGAAGTGGACTCCACTGATAATTGTACCACAAAATAGCCACTTAATATGCCATTTTAAGCTATTTTTCCAACAGATTTAGCAATTCGGGATAAAAATTTAGCTTACCGTTCACCAAAGAAGAATATTGGTAGCGTGCTGATAACGTGTTGTGATTATAGCCTTTAGCTCGTAGCAAAGAAACAGATAGTATTCTTAAGAGTAAATACCAGCGGATGTCTTCCAACTTTGGTGCCACCACCATTTTTAGTCTTAACTTTTAAATCAATCACTCATAACCCTCTTACTTTTGATTTCTAGCCATCTATAGTCCTTTTGTTAAAATTGACCGTCTCAAACCGTTTTCTCAAGGACAATGTTGTCCTTTCCCATTTAATGACTTATACGGAGTATATTTTTTCAACCTTTTTCCACCACAAGTCATACAACCACACTTAAAGTCGTACTTTATCGTATTTCATACTCATACATCCTAAGCCACCACTTTCCGATAACCAAGTCTCAGGCAGTTGTCGCCACCCTCGAGATGTTGCGCCTCGCCGTCTTCTTCTTCCTGCTTGCTTGCAGACAAAATATATTCTTCACTTCCACAGCTTAATCTCCCATATTGTCACCACTTGGAGAAACTACTAAACTAGCAAATGGTATACTACCAAAGTGGATCATCTTGTTCATTCTTTGCCATGTGCCAAAGCTCGAGGGACTGAAATCATCACAACACGGGGACAAAACGCTATGAAAGGCGTTCGTTCCAAAGCGAAAAAAAAAAAAAAAAAAAAAAAAACAAACAATATGTAGAAAGAAAGTACCTTGTGAGCACCGATTACTAACGAAAATACCCTTGGACTACACGGCCAAATGACGGAAATTATAACGGTGGACTAAAAGTGGAACACTTATAATAACAGTGGTCACAATGTGACAAAATTAATTAAGGTGGACTAAATGCCCTATAATAGTTGGACCAAAAATGAAATTCACTCTCTCTATGATTATTTGAAGACATATTGTGATGAATTGCAAATTAAGTGGAAAAATTTTGAGAGGAAATAGAAGTGTAAAAAACAAATTGAGAGTTTAGGGTATATATAGATATAGAAATTAAAATTTAAAAAAAAAAAACAAAAAAACAAAAAAACAAAAAAAAAAAACAATTGCCTCAACATTCAATTAAAAGAAAATAATTTTTTTGTCTCCTCAACAGTATTGAGTATTGAGGATAAAATTGTATTTTTGTTTAATTTAATGACATGAACCATCACAGGCGTGTGCGCGCACGTCAGTGGTGCATACCAGCACATGCCATTCGGCCACTCCCCTCTTTTCTTCAGAAAGAACATTCTCTCCAAAGAATGTCACTCTCCTCCATCCCTTTCTCCCTTTTTCTCCTTTAATTATACATTTATTACACAAATAATGTACTTTTAATATATTAAAAATATAAAACTATGATCCATATAATAACTTACCCTACTTTTGGACAAATTATTGTATAGACCACGGTCCAAAACCGACGACGTTGAATAATATGAGCATGGTTGCAGTAGGCGCTAGTCGGGCGCCCGGGCAGCGCCCAGCGCCTAAGCGGCCTAGTCGGCGCCTAGACGGAATCTAGGCGGCGCTAGGCGGTCGCGAAAAAAACAGTAGCAGACTTGCAATTTGACAATTTTAAAGAGGCTGTTTTCAACATTCAATCAAATAACACATCCAAATAAATGACATAATGACAATTCATAAGTCATAACATCAAAAGAATATTAAAAAAAAAAAAAAAACTCAAATGAAATACCCAAATACTTCAATCATCCAAAGATTGAAAGTATCAAACTAGTCTACGAGTATATATATGACATATTATATGTATATGTCATATAAATGAAAAAAATTAGCAAGGTCGAGTCGGTCGGGTTAACTCGACAGAAATTGACGAGTTAACTCGGCGTAATCAGACGAGTTAGGCGCTAGGCGGGCACCTAGGCGGCCGGTCTCCTAGGCAAGAGCCTAGGGCGGAAATCGCCACGGCCTATGGGCGCCTAGCGCCTAGGCGCCGATTACTCGGTGCCTAGGCGAGATTTTTACAACCCTGATTATGAGTAAAAATAATGTACATAATGTGTTAGAATAATGTACATTATGTATTAGAATAATGTACATTATGTGTTAAAATAATGTACATTACATGTTAAAATAATATACATTACGTGTTAGAATAATGAAACTTCTGGAGTAATATAATGTACATTATGCTTTAGAATAATGTACCTTATGAATTATAAAAATGTAAGTTGCTGGAGGTTGCGTGAAAAAAAAAATACACAAAACGACGTCATTTTTTTTACCACGATCCACGCAATAACTTTTCCTGCCTTTGCAATCCCCGCTTACACTCCTCCATTAAGGGTTCGTTTGGAAAGCAAGAAAATAACTTCTGGAAAATGTTTTCAGGAAAATGACAAACATTTTCCTTTCCTGTGTTTGGCTGCACAATGAAAAACTGTCATTTTGTGTTTGGTTGATTTTCCAGAAAATGAACAAAATTGTATACTTCAACATTTTAGCATTAATACCAATAAAATTCTGCAAACTCAATCAAAGGACTCCAATTTAGAATTAATACCAATAAAATTTTAAGAAATCATATACATAAAATTTTAGAAATAAGATACATAACCAAAACACTCCAATTTAGCTAGTGATTCACTGATTTTGACATCAGAAACCAGAATTGGTTTCCGCATCAGAACTGATTTCCGATGCGAAAATCAGTTACTGGTTTCCGGCAGTGGGAGGAAAACCCACCGCCGAAAAACATCTATACTTCCCCGGCTGGTGGAGATTTGTTGGTGAAGTTGTTGGAGTTTCCTTTGTTTCTATTCAGGGGACGGAGCTGCTGAAGTGCAGAGCTAAGAATGTAAAATGACTTCCCCTAAAATAAGAGGAAAGTCATTTTACGGAAGATTTAGGGTCCGTTTGGAAAGCAGAAAAATGACTTTTGAAAAATGAGTCATTTTCCGGAAAACATTTTCCTTTCTTGTGTTTGGGAGCACAGCAGAAAACTTTCTTTGTGTGTTTGGTTCATTTTCTGGAAAATGAGGTAGAATGGTATAATTAAATATTTTATATAATTAATTATTTTATTTAAAATAAAAAATATTTATAATAATAATTATTTTTGTTATTAAATAATAGTAATTATTAAAAGCTTTAAAAAAAAAATGACGGAAGAAACTAGAGAGAAGTTCTCTCTGGCTTCTTCCGGCGAGGGGAACCAGAGAGCTTCTCTGTGGTTTCCCTTGCCAGAAGAAGCCAGAGAGAACTTCTCTCTAGTTTCTTCTGGTGAGGGGAACCAGAGAGAGCTTCTCTCTGGTTCCCCTTGCCGGAAGAAATCAGAGAGAGTTCTCTCTGGTTTCTTCCGGCAAGGGGAACCGAGAGAAGCTCTCTCTGGTTCCCAATCCTCACTGCTTTTTGTTTTTTTTTTTTTTAAATATTTCTGGCGGAAACATTATTAGTCATTTGGCGGAAAATGACTTCCGCCAAAATTTGGCGGAAGTCATTTTCTGCCAAATTGGCTTGCTTTTCCCCAGTCAACGGAAAATGTTTTCCGTTGACTGGGTTTTTCAAGCCTTGCTAAACATGGGAAACCCGGAAAAGAAATCATTTTTTGGATTTCCAAACACAGCCTAAAATGATTTTCCGTTGACTTTCCATTTTCCTACCTAGCCAAACACTAAAAATTCAAAAAATGATTTTCAAAAATCATTTTCTGGGTTTCCAAACATTTCTCAATGGGCCCGTCAACACAGTACAAAACCCAATATTATAGGTAAAGTTGGCTAACCATTCCCCTGCAGTTCCCTGGATCAATCCACCCAATAATTTTACTTACATCTTTTCTTTTTATTGGAAATTGAACGCACATGCAAATTTTTCTAGTATAACAATAAAATGTTTATTCCCTTACTCTACATTCAGTGTTCAACAACCAGCATAAAGAGAGTAAGGACAATCCAGAAGAAGCAGAAGCTGAAACCTCCTACTCAACATCCTTATTTATGTTTTACACTTTGTTTTGAATAGCAATGAGCTTTGGTAACCATCAAATTTACTTCTTCTGGGATTTGAGTTCTTCTACTCGCCTTTCGGTCTCCCTCAACGCCTCCCCGTATATACTGATCAACTGGAATCAGAGACGCCCAATATCAGAAAAGCTCAAAAAGGAAACTAGACAAATGAAGCTTTCAAGAATGGGATGAATGAGTCAAGAAGTGATGTTTCAAAAGCAAGGTTGCAGAAGGCGCTAGGCGCTAGGCGCTAGTTAGGCGCCTAGCGCTAGTCAGGCGCCTAGCGCCTATATATATATATATATATATATATATATATATATATATATATATATATATATCATGGTTGCAGTAGGCGCTGGGCGCTAGTCGGGCGCCCGGGCAGCGCCTAAGCGGCCTAGTCGGCGCCTAGGTGGAATCTAGGCGGCGCTAGGCGGTCGCGAAAAAAACAGTAGCAGACTTGCAATTTGACAATTTTAATGAGGTTGTTTTCAACATTTTATCAAATAACACATCTAAATAAATGGCATAATGACAATTCATAAGTCATAACATCAAAAGAATATTTAAAAAAAAAAAAACTCAAATGAAATACCCAAATACTTCAATCATCCAAAGATTGAAAGTATCAAACTAGTCTACAAGTGTATATATGTCATATTATATCTATATGTCATATAAATGGAAAAAATTAGCAAGGTCGAGTCGGTCGGGTTAACTCGACTAACTCGACAGAAATTGACGAGTTAACTCGACGTAATCGGACGAGTTAGGCGCTAGGCGGCTGAATTAGGCGCTAGGCGGGCGCCTAGGCGGCCGGTCTCCTAGGCGGGAGCCTAGGGCGGAAATCGCCACGGCCTATGGGCGCCTAGCGCCTAGGCGCCGATTACTCGGTGCCTAGGCGGGATTTTTACAACCCTGATATATATATATATATATATATATATATATATATATATATATATATATATATATATATATATATATATATATATATATATATAACTCGGCCGAGTTCAGCGCCAAGTTGGCCGGCCGACTAAGGGGTGCCTAGCGGGAAAATCCCCTCAGCCTAGGGGCGCTTAGCGCCTAGGCCGATTTTTACAACACTATTCAAAAGGCTGTTGGAGTGTACCTCATCAACTTCCTCGGGAGTCATTATAAACGGAGGAGACATCATTATGTTATCGCCAGCTACACGGACCAGCATCCCCTTTTTCTGACACTGAGCTCCGAAGTAAGCACCAACACCTAAGGAAATTTAACACCCAGTTTTTGTTTTTTTCTTTTTTTTGTTTGTTTTTGAAATGGGAATGAGTTGTGAAAATCATGCAAGTATATATACAAGGGATGTTATAATTACCCCATTCAGGAGGGAAAGGATCATTAGGAGACTTGTTGTTAGTAAACTCGGTCCCAAGGATCAAGCCAAGACCTCGAATCTACAAATTTAGAAGAGGGAGCAAATTGAATTATAATGATGAATACTATTTTATGGAATACATACGATTTTGATGGAAATAAGATGTACCTCTCCAATGATAGGACTGTCGGAAAAGGCTTTTATACCATCTTGGAATTTCGGAGCTATTCTATTAACCTGCTCAATAATATTTCTCTCCCTGAAATGCATTATAGTGATATCACACAGATCAATCTATTGGATATTTTCATTTTTGATATCTTTGAACTTGATCTTGAAGAATCACCAATGCCATTACAAGCAGATGGTGATAAGTTTAGCACATCAGGTAATAAGTAAACGTACTTGTAGATCTTTACTGCTTCCAATGCCACGGCACAAGATACCGGGTGCCCAGAATAAGTAAAACCATGGGAGAAAGAACCTGGTAAAACAAGAATTTTGTAGGGCATTGTGATAAATATAACAGAGGCGGTTACTTAAATGTGTTAAAATTAACATTAACATGTTGATACCTAATTTATTGCTTTGGGAATGTATTACATCATATACTTCAGGGCTCACTAGGACAGCCCCAATCGGCATATAAGCAGAAGAAACAGCCTGGAAAGAAGCGTGGAAAATTTGAGGCGTCTGTTGAATTGCAGGTTGTAAGAATTTACTGAGTGGTATTTGATCTACCTTTGCTATAGAGACAAGATCAGGTTTGATATTATATTTGTCACAGCCGAACATTGTTCCAAGCCTCCCAAACGCACATATTACCTCATCCGCAATGAAAAGAATGTCATACTTCTTAACTACAGCTTGAATCTGGCATAAGAATGATGAGCACTCAGTTAACCGGAAGTATGTAAAAGTAGATGTGAACAGGATTTTAAAAAGAGAGATTCCAATAGCACCAAATTAAATAGAGTAGCAAATAGAAAAACGTTAGCATACTGAAATTATAGAATATCAAGATTCAAGACGGGCATGAAAAGAATAAAAAAGGACATTTAAAATGGATATTAGTGTTTCAAAGATACACCAGAAAAGAATATCAAATCTCTCAACTGCAAAATTCACCATCTCCACCAAATAAACAGAAGAATGAAACTTTTAAGAGTCCCACGTTCAAAATATAAGAGAGAACATATGGGTTTATAAGGTCATGGGTAAGACTAGCTTATTGTATAGATTCAACCTTTTAGTGTGGTTTGGCCTATGTGCATTAAAGCCCAGTTGAGTGATATTCAGTCTTTTAGTGTGGTTTGGCCCAATCTTTAGATTATAAGAGAAAAGATATGCAAAATATTTATTTAAATTAAAAAAATAAAAATAAAAATAAAAAAGGGGAAGAACCAGAACGGATAAAGGAGCCTCACCTTATCAAAATAAGTTGCTGGTGGTGGTATCACACCACCTGCCCCCATGACTGGCTCCGCAATGAAAGCAGCTATCTAGCAAAGGAAAAAAAAAACACATAAGAGAGAGGTGATAAACAGCTAAGCCACATTTAAATTAATAAACAATGTAAAGAGAATATCAAATAGTATTACCGTCTCTGGTCCCTCTTTGAGGATAAGATTTTCCAAGTTATTTGCCAACCTTGTTGAGAATTCCCCCTCTGTCTCACCTGAGAAAAGACATTTCCATATTCTCAATGGGTATTTTCTTACATTAAACAGGCAACAGAAACAAGAAAGGTAGATAAGAACCTGGCAGATGATAGCGCCAATAATGAGGGCAGTCAGTGTGCAATACAAATGGAGCAGGCAGATCAAATTTTTGATGTAGTGCTGGAAGGCTGTTAATGAAAATTATTAGCAAAACGAACTGTTCAAAAATCAAAGTAATTATCTGATTATAAGGCTTTAGATGAGAAGCTGAAAAGAACATTACCCAGAAAGACTAGCTGCGATAAGCGTTGATCCATGGTATCTGTCAGAATGAACAAAAAACAAGAAAACAAAACATTGGTAAACATCAATGATGTAACAAATAAAAGTAAATGTGCATAGAAGAGTCATTTTACGATTTTTCACGAGCAATAAATTTTTTCTTGTTTGGTCTCCCAAGTGCATTGTTATAATACCATACCAACTTCACCTGCAAATAAAAAAAGTAAAAAACTGACTTCATTTATTAAGTGTGTTGAAATTGAGGGATTGATAGGTCTGGCGGGTGGAGAATAACCACCACCCGCCAGTTAGGCGGAAGCAAAATATGTGATAACCAAAGAACAAGAGAATATAGAGAATATATTATAATGAAAGAGTACAATAGATTGTCTTCTCTTAATGTCTATTCTATACTTCTATGGACCTCTATATATACTAAACTAGATACTAAATTAGTCCTAATAGGAATAGGAAACTACTAATAAGAATAGGAAACTAAGACAACTTTCCTATTATTCAACACTCCCCCTCAAGCTGGAACATCTGAAGTTCCAAGCTTGGATTAAAACAAGCACTCTACCTCACTCCAAAATTACAAATGAAAATATGAAAATTAAATGCAACTAGGGTTAACAGTGCTGAATGGCTTCGGAGGGACAATGCAACCCTTGGAATGAAGGCACCAGGGGCGAAGCTTGTCATGAACATCCTTGGGAATGGAGGCACCAAGGGTAAAGACTAACACGAACACCATCGCAGCAACATAAGCACTCTAGGACGGATGACTTCAAAGAAGATTGCACTATGTCTGACCCTTCCTTGGGAATGAACACAAAGGCACCAAGAACGGAGCTGAACACAATCCTTGGGAATAAAGACGAAGACACCAAGGACGAAGCTAAACACGATCTTGGGAATGAACACATCAAGGGCGGAATTGAACACGAACCTCGGGAATGAAGATGAACACACCAAGGATAGAGTTGAACATGAACAACCTCCCGATAACACAAGAGAGCGGTAGAGGCAGAAAGGGAGCAAAGAATAGCAAAGGGAGCCCATAGTAGATAAAATAGCAAATAATAGTAAATGATAGCACACCAATTGTAGATAGTCACACTCCCCCTTACTTGAAACATGGGAAATAATCAAAGGCCTTTATAGTAGTGCTGAAACTGACCATCCATGGGATAAGGCATACCGGAGATAAAGAAACAAACACGGTTATACCAAAACACAAACACCATGGGAAAATGTTCGGCAACAAACCCAAAGAAGCCTTCAAATTTCACCAAAAAGTTGAAAGAAGGGCAAAACAACCATCTGAAAAATCTCGCCAGAAGCAGACTCACGCGCCGGCGCGTGACGGCGGCAGTGGCGCGTGAGGACGACGGCGGTGGAGGAAAGCGATGAAATTTTCCAGATAAGGTCGCAAGAAGGAGAGGAATCCAGCGGTGAAGGAGGTGAGACCAGAAAACCGCCAGAGAAAAGGAGATCTGACCGGAAAAAAACTAAAGTAGTCCGTCGGCGGTGGTGGCGCGTGAGGGCGCGTGCGACGGTGGATGGTGACCGGATTTCAAGCGAAGGCTCGCGACGAGGTTCCGAGTAAGGCTGTGCTGTTTATTGCTTTGAACAACAACTAGAAGTGCGTCGGAACGAGAGAAAACAGTGGCGGCAGTGGTTAACCTCCGGTGGCAGTAGCGGCGGCGGAAAGCTAGGGTTTATATTAGGGTTTCAATAATTGAAGAAAAACAGCCTAGGAAAGTGGCTCTGATACCATGTTGAAATTGAGGGATTGATAGGTCTGGCGGGTGGAGAATAACCACCACCCGCCAGTTAGGCGGAAGCAAAATATGTGATAACCAAATAACAAGAGAATATAGAGAATATAGAGAATATATTATAATGAAAGAGTACAATAGATTGTCTCTCTTAATGTCTATTCTATACTTCTATGGACCTCTATATATACTAAACTAGATACTAAATTAGTCCTAATAGGAATAGGAAACTACTAATAAGAATAGGGAACTAAGACAACTTTCCTATTATTCAACAAAGTGGAGTATTCCACCTGCAAGAACTAAATAAAAATAAAAGGCTATGATTTAAATAGAAAATTCTTTTAAGCTCTCCATATTTTGCATTGACTAGGGAGCTTCAATGTATTGGTATTTCTCCTGCAAACAAGAACATCTTAACTGTTGAGCAGTGGGGCCCAGCCATTCATATGAATGTATGGCGAAAGCCTAGTTTTCCATGCAAACTTCACCAAGCCAGTATGGCATATGCATGATAAAATGGAGTTAATAAACAAATAGCAAAATGTTTGTTGGAATATTAAAAGTCTTGGGCAGCTCACTAGCCTTAGTAATTAAATGGGCAGCTCACAAGCCTTAGTAATTAAGCCTTGGGGAGATGAGTAGTTTCTTTATTTATTATTGTTTACTCTTGTAGACCTATATATAGACTTGTAACTTGAAGTTAGATGTATATACAAGAACCTTTTCTAGCTTTTAACATGGTATCAGAGCCTCTTTTTTGGGGCCTGAAATTTCTCTCAAACACCTACAGCCGGTGACTGTTCATCATCCCTTTTCCGACAAAATTTTCCAAATCAGTTCGTCCCTTGTCTGCGATTATATGGTGATTTTCTCATATTTTTCTGAAAGCTATGGCAAAACATGAAAGTTTAAACAACATGCTGAAAGTTGCCAGGACCAACTTGTCTCATACTGCTCTTGCATTAAAATCTGATTCATCTTGGATTCTTGATTCTGGAGCCACTGATCACATTTCTGGTAATCTCTCATTTTTCTCTAATATTGAGTTCTCAGATTCTCTTCCCGATGTCACATTTGGTGATGGATCAAAAGGAAAAGCTATAGGAATTGGAAAAGTCACCATTCATTCTTTGTCTTTATCCAATGTCCTTTACATTCCTGGTTGCCATTTCAATTTGATTTCAGTTAATCAACTTACTCACTCACTTAATTGCCTTGTCACCTTTTCTTCTGATTCGGTGGCTATTCAGAACCGTCAAACAAAAGGGACAATTGGTGTAGGATATGAATCACGAGGTCTATACCATCTTTCATGTTCCGCCAATACCAAAACAGCTTGCTCGACTTCTATTTCACCCCTTCTTAACCATTGTCGTTTAGGACATCCTGACCTCAATAAATTAAAACAACTGGTTCCTGGATTGTCGAATTTAAAAACCATAAAGTGTGAATCATGTCAGCTTGGGAAGCACTCAAGAGCTTCATATCCTAGTAGAGTGAATAAGAGGGCCAATACCCCATTTTCTTTAGTTCACTCTGATGTTTGGGGACCGTGTCGAGTTTCATCCACTTTGGGTTTCTCATATTTTGTTGTCTTCATTGATGATTTCTCTCGATGCACTTGGGTTTTTCTAATGAAGAATCGTTTTGAATTATTTGATGTGTTTCAAAAATTCTACAATGAAATTGTGAATCAATTTGGGGCATCTCTCAAAATCTTACGCAGTGATAATGCAAGAGAATATTTTTCTGACCCTTTCACTTCTTTCTTTTCCTCAAATGGAATACTTCATGAATCATCATGTGCTAGAACTCCTCAACAGAATGGAGTTGCTGAACGAAAAATTTGTCATCTTGTTGAAACAGCTCGTACTTTGCTTATTCATAACAAGGTACCTAAGAATTTTTTAGGGCATGCTATACTTCACTCTTGCTATCTCATAAATTGGATGCCTTCCTCTGTTTTGCAAGGAAAAATTCCTCTTCATATCTTACGTCCACAAGAATCTCTCCATAAGCTTCCATTGTGAATCTTTGGGTGTACTTGCTTTGTTCATAATACTTCTCCAGGGCGTGATAAACTTGATGCCAAGGCAATAAAATGTGTTTTCCTTGGGTATTCTCACCTCCAAAAAAGCTTTAAGTGTTACTGTCCTAGAACACACCGGTTTTATACCTCTTCCGATGTTACCTTTTTTGAAACAAGACCTTTTTTCTCTTCCACCTCCATTGAGTCTAATTTCCTAGGGGAACCCATTGAAATCACAGAAATTCTCCCTGTTCCTACTTTCTCAGAACCTATATCTCCCATTGTTCCTGAAAGGACCATACCTATTCCTGAAAGAACTATTCCAACTCCAACCATTCAAGAGGAAGGACATATTCCACCGTTGTTGTACACCTACCAACGACGCAATCGTCAAGATTCCCAAGAGGATAGACATCCAGTTGAGTCATGTTCTACATCATTGTTACCCAATGATGCTGCCCAAAACACCACGACAGACTCTCCCATTGCCAGTCAGGTAGGTAAAAGATCCACTCGAAATCCTTACCCTATCTATAATTTCCTTTCACAAAAACATCTTTCTCCATCATATTGTGCCTTCATTGCTAGTTTGTCAACTGCTTTTGTTCCAAACAATGTCAAGGAGGCATTAACTAATCCAGGGTGGACTCAAGCAATGGTTGATGAAATGAAAGCACTACATTCTTCCGGGACTTGGGAGTTAGTACCTTTACCTCCTGGTAAAACTGTGGTTGGTTGTAGATGGGTGTACAATGTGAAGGTTGGTCCAGATGGACAAGTTGATAGACTCAAAGCTCGACTTGTGGCTAAAGGATACACACAGGTTTTTGGCATTGACTACACGAATACCTTCTCACCGGTGGCCAAGATCACTTCTATCCGCCTCTTACTCTCAATGGCAGCCAACCATCACTGGCCACTGTATCAGTTGGATATAAAGAATGCCTTCTTACATGGGGATCTGAATGAGGAAGTGTATATGGAGCAGCCACCTGGATTTGTGGCTAAGACAGGAGTTAATCTTGTTTGTCGTCTTAAGCGCTCTCTCTATGGGTTGAAGCAATCTCCACGTGCCTGGTTTGGGAGATTTAGAGATGTGATCCAACAATTTGGCATGATTCAAAGCAAGGCTGACCATTCTGTTTTCTATAAACATCTACTTGGAAAAAGTATATATCTTGTGGTTTATGTTGATGATATTGTCATTACAGGGAATGATAGTGAAGGGAACAAATCAGCTTAAGAAACATTTGTTTCAACATTTCGAGACAAAGGATCTTGGAAAATTGAAGTATTTTCTTGGTATTGAAGTTGCTCAATCCAAACAAGGTATCTATGTGTCTCAACGAAAATATGTTTTGGATATTCTTGAAGAAACAAGAATGACAAATTGCAAACCAGTTGACACACCCATGGATCCAAATGTCAAACTTCTTCCAAGACAGGGGGAGCTCCTATCCAATCCAAGTAAGTATCGGAGATTAATTGGCAAGCTATTGTACTTGACTATCACTCAACCAGACATCTCCTTTGCTGTAAGTGTAGTTAGCCAATTTTTGCAAGAGCCATGTCAAAGTCATTGGGATGCAGCCGTCAGAATATTGAGATATGTGAAAAGGTCTCCAGGTACAGGGTTGCTCTATAAAGATCATGGACATACAGAAATTGTTGGCTATACAGATGCAGATTGGGCTGGATGTCCTTGGGATAGGAGATCAACATCAGGATATTGTATTCTATTTGGAGGTAATCTTGTCTCTTGGAAAAGTAAGAAACAAGATGTGGTTGCACGCTCAAGCGCAGAAGCTGAATACCGAGCAATGGCACTTGGAATATGTGAGCTAATTTGGGTTAAACAACTTCTTACAGAACTCAATTTCTATAAGCATGGTCCTATGAAATTAATTTGTGATAATCAAGCAGCACTCCACATTGCGTCTAATCCTGTCTACCATGAAAGGACTAAACATATTGAGGTTGTTGCCACTTTATACGAGAGAAGGTCGCATCCGGAGACATTGTTACCACATTTGTTGGGTCAAATGATCAACTTACTGATGTTCTCACCAAATCTCTCCGTGGACCTAGGATTGAATACATTTGTAGCAAGCTGGGAGCTTTTGATTTATACGCTCCAGCTTGAGGGGGAGTGTTGGAATATTAAAAGTCTTGGGCAGCTCACTAGCCTTAGTAATTAAATGGGCAGCTCACAAGCCTTAGTAATTAAGCCTTGGGGAGATGAGTAGTTTCTTTATTTATTATTGTTTACTCTTGTAGACCTATATATAGACTTGTAACTTGAAGTTAGATGTATATACAAGAACCCTTTCTAGCTTTTAACAATGTTAATCAAGGATTTCTAGCAAGTAGCAAACCTGTGTGTCATTGGCTTCTGATCCACTATTTGTGAAAAATGCTTTTGCCATTTTATTTGCAGTAAATGTATCTAGAAGTTCCTTGGCAAGATCCTGTATGTCTCAAGAAGTTTACAGTTATGAGATTTTAGCAGCAATGACTACATGCATATTCATAGAATTAAAACATACCAAAGAAGGCTTTGTTGTACGATTCCAAAATGAGTGATAAAATGGCAATGTATTTAGTTGTTTCATAGCAGCATCAACAAGACGTGGTTCATTTCCACCTGAAAGTCCACAGAACAAGATCAATCATGTTAATTGGCATGTACACATTCAGTAGAGAAGAAATGATAAATCAACAAACAGTTAAAAGGAAAGTAAAGTAAAATTCCAATGTAGTAAGTGCCATGTCTAAAGATAATGGAAATTGTTTAAGAAAACAGGCTCTGCTCTTAATTTTTTCGGCAGTAAATTTGAAATTGTTAGGTAACTTCTGATAAATAACAGCAAAAACAAAAATACTCAGTAGATTGCAAGAAAAGATTGTTCGCATCAAAGACTTACATGCCCTTTATCAGTAAAATTTAAAAGAACAGTACCAGGATAGCATTAAGCAATTTCAATGGATGTGATGCCAATTGTGGCAATCAGTGTATTCATACGAGATTATAAACACAAACAATTCCTTAGTTCTACTAGATAAATATTTGTATCTTGAAGTCACATAAGGGGATAATATACCTAAAGCTGTGCACCATAAACCTGCCAGGGAATCAAGATATTTCTTTCCGTTTATATCATAAACATAGGAACCCTGTAGAAACACCACAAGAGAATTGGCTTATCCAGAAGACCCAACATTATTTAAATGGGATCATTTGATTCTTCAAAATAGGAAACATCACCAACATCCATACCTCAGACTTTTCTATTACTAAGGGATGCAGATCGGTAGTTTGCCACCCTGCAGTAAAGGGTGCCAACATATCATGCCCCTTAAATCTGAGAACATGAAGGCTCATTGGTTAATAAGAAATGAAGTTTTATATATACATATTATTCGTATAACCAATTCAGAACAACCACAAATATTTGTATACTTGCAGACAATATCATAAGATAGATTTTCTAGTAGCTAGTCAGAGATATATTTGGCAATAATGTGAACGTAGTATCTTACCCTTTTTCATCAGTGGAATCATTCTGCACAGATACCTGTGCACTACTCCATCTGGTCGGTGAGCGTCTACGAATAATAGATCCATGCGAACCACTAACTGCAGGAAGATGCTTTACATGGGAGCCAACCTGTAAAGTAAGACTAAATGAGCAAGCAGAGAGTGCCATACCAGAAATAAACATTACCACCATTTGTTAGAGTGGTATGTATAACACTGATTTTGTATAGAAGTAATTTTGTTTTTCTTGTCTTTCTTAAATCTTATATCAACAGAATTTCATTTTCATCTTTCATTTCATGCATTTAGTTGTGTTGTGTGAGTAAAACAGCAGCACTAATTTATAATAGGAGTTCATTTAGACTTTCGGACATAAAAATGGAATCAACCTTGAAAACGAATCAATTGATGGCATTATTTAATCAAATTTGATTTAACTCAAGTCCTAAATCGCATTTTGATTCATACAACCTAGGAATGGCACTCTGATCGCGGTTTTTTCTCCACAATTTGTCAAAAATGGCTCAATGTTTATTCTCCGATCGGCCATTGTCGGGTTCCTACAATGTTCATGCTCGGGGTATAATTTTCAAAATCAGAGTTTATACATGTATAAAAGTACTAAATTCCCCAAAAAAATCGGAGAGGCAAAACCCCAACTTTCCCAACACAGAATTTCAACCTGGTTGGTTGGTGGCAATAATCTAGAAGTTAATCCCAAGAAAGCAAATCCATATATACAAACCTGGTTGGTGGCTCTCTTGAGAGTGTGCCCGAGAAGGCGATTGATCATTGCAACTGCTTCTCTGGTTCTCCTTCCCTTCTAGGAAAAATTATTTAGCTGTGAGATCAAAATATCTTCTGTTGGAAAGCAGGAAAAATTGAAAATTCTATGTGAGAGAGAGAGAGAGATGAAAGTGGGGCCTGTCTCAGGAATGAGGGAGGAGATAAAGAAGCAAGAATGCCAGCAAGCAGCGGATAGGACCAAGGTGTCTACGTAATACGTCCAGGTTCACACTCAATCCAAATGTGATTCTGTGAATCTGTGATGTGATTAAAAAATGCACTGCAGTAGACTTGGCGATACCCGGTTTTTACGCCCGTTTTCGTATTGCATGCATTCACCGGGGCAGATTCAGAAATTTTCTTAAGAAGGGGGCAAAAGAAAAAATAAAAGGGAAAATGGTTAAATAGGTCCTCGAACTTTAGTTTAAAAATCAATTAGGTCTCTAAACTTTTTAAAGGTGCAATTACACACATCAACAATTCATTTAAGTATAATGAAGCCCAAAAATAAATTAATGACCTGCTATCACAAGTCATTAGGGTTTAGGCCACCTTCCGGCGAATTTTTCGACAAAAAAAAAAAAAAGTGACCGCGAAATTTTTGACAAAAGAAGTGACCGGAGAAATTTTTGACAAATCTAGGTCGGTTGCTGGTCACCTTTTTTTTGTCGAAAAATTCGTCAGAATGTGACCTGAATCCTAATGACCTGTGATAGCAGGTCATTAACTTGTTTTTAGACTTCATTGCACCTAAATGAATTGTTGATGGGTGTAATTGAACCTTTAAAAAGTTTAGGGGCCTAATTGACTTTTAAACTAAAGTTCGAGGGCCTATTTGACCCCACACTTAGAGGTCGAGTCATAAATATTGTTGACTAAAGATTAAAATATATATATCTATATATATATATATATATATATATATATATATATATATATATATATATATATATATATATATATATATTAAAACGCAATAAAATATTTAAAACAAAAACATAATTCAAATAGAAATTACATTATAAATTACTCATCTCACTATTAATATTTAAAAGAAATCCCAATAATACATATAAAGAATTCCATTAGAATTAAAAATTAATCTCATAAATCACAATTATAATCTCACTATTAATATACAAAAGGGCCAAAATTAAAATTTAAAAAATCAATGCCCTCAAGATTCAAACCTAAGACAGTTCACACACTAACCTAGACCTAATCATCTAAGCTAACCCATCCTTTAGTTCAGTTTTTGTACACTTACGTTTAGTTTGTATATATAATGAACCTATACATACAATATATATATAGGCTCTGTTTGGCAGAGCTTATTTAGGAGCTTATAGCTTATTTTAAGCTACTAATAGGCAATCGTTATACCCTACACCACGGCGCACATAGCACTATGCGCCGTGCGCCTCCCAAAATGACGTCGTTTTGGGGTCGTTTTGGGAGGCGCGGTAGGAAGTTGCTGGGATTATGTGTATTTGTTTACAAAGTTATGTGTATTTGTTCATACAGTTATGTGTATTGGTTCATACAGTTATGTACATTTTTTATACAATTATGTACATTCTTTTTATACAATTATGTACATCCGAATCAGAAAATTTGTGTGTATTATGTTAAGAGTTGATGCGTATTATGTTAAAAGTTTATGTTTATTATGTATTATGTTAGATTATGTGTATTATCTTTTAAAAAGAGTATGTATATTTTGTTATATAATTATGTACATTCATGTATACAATTATGTGTATTCTAGTATAACATTATGTACATTCTTGAACAGCGGTTTTTTTTTTTTTAAGAAAAAACTACTGCCATTCACTGGGGCGGGAAATTTCAAAAAAAAAAATTTAAAACGACGTCGTTTTGCATCTGGGCGCATAGTGCAACGCGCGCCATGGTGTAGGATATAAATTGCCACTAATAAGCTATAAGCTCTGTTTAGTAATGTTTCCAAAATAAGCTCCTAGCTTAAAATAAGAGCTAACGCTACCTTAGGTAGCGTTCCAAAATAAGCTCCTAGCTTCCTAACTTTTTTTCCATGTTCATCCTTATTATTTTAAAGAAATGACATAATTTACTTTTCCCAATTAAAACCCTTTTATCTTCTTCTTTATCCGCAACTTTCAATATTATTATTATTATTATTATTATTATTATTATTATTATTATTATTATTATGAGATTTGCAACAATATTGCTACTTCATTATGAGATGCTAGATCATGATTATGCTAATAGTTTTATTTCAAAATGTTAATTTTTTTGTTAAATTTTAATATGTAAACAAACTAATTTAAATTTTATGAAGATGTTCTTTTTAGTCTTTTTACATTTATCAGCTTATCAAAAAGCTAAATTTACCAAATACTTTCAATCATAATAGCTAGTTTAACAGCTCTTCAGTTTTCAGCTCCGAGCTTATAGCTTTTCAGTTTTCAGCTCCTTTTCAGCTTTTAGCTCCTAGCTTATAGCTTTTCAGCTAGGTTTGCCAAAAAGAGCCATAAAGGGTATGGGGATGGGGCGAGGGAGGGGGCAACTGCCCCCATTGTGGATCCACCCCTCCTCAGCAAATTTTATTGTGGACCATGTAATAGTGTGTATCACAAAATATGTATCATTTGAATTACACTTTAATTTTATTTGACAATATTGTTATGTTTTTTTTTTTTTTTTCATTTTCCCTTCACAGTAGTTTCATTATAGCAATATTAAAGTATCATTTTAATTCTACTATAGTTTCATTTGATAATATACATTATTGCTTGCTCTATTTTTTGTTTCATTTTCCACACATACTAGTGTAATTATAGTAATGTTGATGTATTATTTTAATTGCAATTCAAGTCATTTGACAATATATTTTATTGAGTTAATACCCAAAATCGTCCTCGACTATAGTGGTTTTTCTCAATTTCGTCCTAAACGACTTTGGTGACCTAATATCGTCCCAGACTTTTGTGTTTCGCTCAATTTAGTCCTCCATTTGTTATTCTGTCAAATTGGTGTTAAATAAAGGGACAATTCAGTAATGTCAATATTGATCTCTCTTTTACTTTCAACTTGTGAAGTGCGAAATTCCTCTTTTTTGTACGAATTACACCCAGAATTACTCCCGGACCTGCAAATCAAATTTTATATTCGCAGTTTTAGGAGTAATTCTGGGAGTAATTCGTAAAAAAAAAAGGATTTTGCAGTTCACATGTCTATGAGTAAAGAGATGCCAATATTAAAATTACTGAATTGTCTATTTATTTAACACCAAATGGACAGAATAACAAATGAAGGACTAAATTGAGCAAAAACACAAAAGTCTGGGACTAAATTGAGCGAAACACAAAAGTCTGGGACGATATTAGGTCACCAAAGTCGTTTAGGACGAAATTGAGAAAAACCACTATAGTTGAGGACAATTTTAGGTATTAACTCATATTTTATTGTATGACTCTAGATTTTAGTTTCATTTTTCATGCACATTAGTTTTATTATAGCAATACAAAATAATAAAGTATCATTTTAACTATACTATTGTTTCATTTGACAATAATGTGCTCTATTCTTTAGTTTATTTTCCATACACACTAGTTTCATTATAATAACACTAAAGAGTGAATTCCATTTTTGGTCCTACTGTTATAGAGGCGTTTTCAATTTTAGTCCACCTTAATTTTTTTGCCACTTTATAACCACTATTATTGAATGTGTTCCACTTTTAGTCCCACCGTTAGTATTTCCATCAAGAGGCCGTGTAATCTAGGGGTATTTTGACCTTTCTTCTCATCCAAGACTATGTTTGACTAAAGAAATGAGAACATTAAACCTAAAACCTAAGAAACCTCGCCGGCCCATGTTGGAACGAACGAAACGATGTAGCTTTGGCTTCCCATTCTCGTTGTTCGAAGAGCCATATTCGAATATCGAAGGAGGAGGACGAAGTGTCTGGATTAAAAGAGAAGAGACAAACATAAAAAGACCAAAATACCCTTTGATTATACGACCTCTTGACAAAAATATTAACGGTGGACTAAAAGTGGAACACATTCAATAACAGTGGTTGTAAAGTGGCAAAAAAAATTAAAGTGGACTGAAATTGGAAACGCCCCTATAACAGTAGGACCAAAAATGGAATTCACTCTAACACTAAAGTATCATTTTAGTTATACTACAATTTCATTCGACGATCATGGTCCACACAGCAATTTATGGACCATGGTCCAATGTATAATAACTGATTCACCCCCTCCCCACACACACCTAATTCCATTCCCAAAAAATTTTCGCTGACAAATTTGATTCATGAAAACTTATATTTTACCTTATATCTTGTATATCTATAATACTAGTTCTTTTACACGCTTTGCGCGAATAGAATAATGCCTAATGATTATTTTTAAATAAGTATTTCAAAGTATATCAATGCAATATTATATCGGAGATGTTCATTCATAGGTAATAAATATTGAATTTGTTTATTTAAATCGGTAACTTAAAGTATATATAAATGCAAGATAATATATGAGACATTGATTATATTGTCACTAAAATAAATGTTTGCAACTTTGTAATAACGTTAGTCTAAAAACGATTTTGCTTAAATTTCTCTAATATAATTCTTATTAATTCTCTTTTGGGTAGCATTGTCATTGTCTTCATCTTCAGTACATGTCCTTTTTTTTTATTGGTAGTTTGTCATGTGCAATTGGGTTACTAGTGGTAGCATATATGGATGAGATTATGGTGTAGGAAGCTTTAGATTTGCCTTATTATGTATATGATGGGATCTTAGTTGTACTATTAACTCTTTATCTTACAAGCACCTATTGATATTTGTTAGTGGTAGTTTTTCCCTACATGTTTCATGCGTTGTGAGATGTGTGTCGTAGGTTATAATGTGTATAAAATACTTGATAAATAAATATATATATAACATATTTTGTATTATAACTTTGATATTTAATTACAAGATGTTGGTCCCGAAAGGGTGGCGAGAAGTCTAGAGGGGGGGTGAATAGACTTCTCTAACTTTTTCAACTTTCTTCGAAAACACACAAAGCAAATAACACTTTGATAATTTCAACTCTAAGTAACAAGCATCAACAAGATAAACAACTTAGAGTGTGCAGCAGAATAGGTAGCGGTAAAGTGTTATGCTTAATTAGTGCGGTGCTCAAAGAGAGATTCTAAACATGCAACACGTTAGAAACACTTGATATGGTTCA